GTTAAACAAGACGTAAGTACACTAATCAGTTAAACAAGACGTAAGTCCACTAACCAGTTAGACAAGACGTAAGTCCACTAACCAGTTATATTATATTTACTTTTCAGATCCTTCGCTCATTAACATTAAATATGTTGAAGCAGTTTCAAACTGGAATATACTGCAAAGTTAAGGAAAAGTTTTAAAGATTTCTCGCCAGTGGGTGTTGGAAAACATTTTCTTATTTTTTAAATCTCGAAGAAATATAATAGCACTACATTTATGGACTAAAACAGTTTGCTTTTACCATATGTGATCAAATTATGTATCTATCTATTAGTCTAACTTTCTAATTTATTGACACAAAGGTGACCCTGATACATGGGAGCTTAAACAAGTAGCGAAATCATTTTATAACAATGCCAACATCAATTTACTTTTATCTAGAGACAATGAGTTAACTTTTAGTAAATGTTGACAGCTTCTACCGTGAATCATTCCCCTCTTCAAAACATTTCATAATATTCTTCAGTCTACTATGTTTGAAATTTTGTTACAAAAAATACCTTTAATTTTTACACTTGCAAAACACACAAACTCCACCCGTAGACAATAATTACAAGATACCAAGAACTATGAAACCCTTACTTATACAATTCAGTAATGAATGAGCACCCATCCCCCACTCTCAACAACATTATTCAACTATTCCTACGAGAGCCAATTTTTTTTGTTTTCCAATATGGCTAGCTTATATCGTTACTTTTTGAAATAGTTAACAATACCCAGTTGATAAGCTTTTACTTTTAGTTATATTGATGTGTTAATTTACATTAACCATTTAAATTTGGATCCATTAATATCTATCCCAAAGTAACAATACTAATTATAGTGCACATTATTTTAATATAGATATATTTTTTATAGAAGGGATAGTGTAATTATTAATTTTTAATGAAATACGAGAACTTAATTTTAATGGTTACAAAATCTGTGAAATTATTAAAGTTTTGTGACCATTATTATAATATCTTAAATAATAAATCCTTCATACATGTTATGATTACCTTTATTTGCAAGATGCGATCCTTAAGAGGATGCTGGTATTTCAAAGTCATATAAATACTAGCTTTAAATACAATTCTATCATTCTACTTGTAACTTATTCAGTACATCTGGAAATTTCAACTTCAACCAACTGAATTTGTCTCATCCAGCCTAATTTATACTTGAATGATGTTGTTAAAGAAGGATGGGCGCTCATATACAATTGAAATATCTGGGTTAGAGGGTTATAGTTCTTGTTTTCTTGTAATTATTGTCTGCCCCCTCAGTGGCACATTGGTATGTCTTGCAGACTTACAACGCTAGAAACCGGGTTTCGATACCCATGGTGGGCAGAGCACATATAGCTCACTGTGTGGTTTTGTGCTTTACTACAAACAAACAAACAATTGTTGTCTACGGATGGAGATGAGTGTTTTACAAATGTTTAAACTGAGGGTGGTGTTTTCTAACACATTTTCAACTGTGACGTTCTATTTAACATCATTTTAATTCTAATAGTTTTTAGTGTTAAACTACCGTAACCATAACCAGTTTTGAACGGTGGGTAGTACTAGTAGGTTTTGGGTTATAGAACCTTTGGCAAAATATAACCTCTATTTGATTTTCTTTGCTAGCTGTGTTGTTTATCATTTGCGTGTTTTGGATTATGTCTGACAGACTGGATATCGCCAACGTTTTTGGTGCTATTACTGTAGACATTTTTCTTTACAAATTATACCTTTAGTACTTTCCTGACAAATGGTATATTTTTTTATTTTCCTGTTTTGTGCCTGTGTTACTGACGTGCAAGTGGATTTATTTTATTTCGATTTGCTTATGTTAAATATTGTAATTTGCCATGAGGCAGTTTTAGTTTATGAATTTTCACTTTAAATAATTTGATTTTGAATTTTAATGTGGTTTTTTTCATATATAGTGATATATATTGATATATATAATGCTGACTCTTTGCCCGTGTACTCTTCATGCAATTTACATAATTTTTACTTATATATATATATATACATATTTACATTTATAACAGAATACTATACCAAAAAGTCAAATAGAATTAAATTTTCATTTATTAGTTGTGTCAGATTTTGAAAAGGAAAATGAGTGAATATTTGTAAAATATATATTCCAATATTGTTGTCCAGCTTTTCTATATAAAAATAATGCTTTCAGCCAAACCGTTCATATTGTGTGTTCGCAATGTTTATAAAAAAATTACCACGCTATTTAATAGGGGGTTAGAATGTACCCTCGGGTTACTCGACATACGTGGGCGTTTTATATGGTTTCAATCCAGTGGTAAGTTCAACAAGTTCTGAAATATTTATTTAGTTTTTACAAGTTCTGAAATATTTATTTAGTTTCAAGTGCTGCAAAACAAGTGCGATAAGTTTTACTCAAACGCATTTAGTATCAATGTAGTCAATTTTTATTGTCTAAATCTCAACCATTATAGCTAAACTTAACTAATGATCCTTTGCTTCTGACTGACATTAATAAGCAAGCTTAGCTTTTCCGAGTGCTAGCCTAGAAAACGTGTAAAGTAAACTAAATTAACAATTATTTTCCGTTAACTTTTCTTGTCGATGGTGGATATCAAACAAAACAACAGCTAGTTCAAATGGTATATATTTTGGTTGACTAAGTAAACAATGAGCAAGCATGCAAGTTAAATAGTAAGTCTAGTGATATGACCCCGTGAATTATTCTTTATTGTGAAGTTTCATTTCAGGTGTTTATGAAACACTAACAATAAAACATCAGAATTATTAAGAGCTTAATAAAGTTTTGAAGTAAAGCAGTGTGTATTATTTGTTTTTGTTTTTTTTATTTTCACTTTACAGACTTGTTATCGTTTAAGTTTAGAATAATAGAAAGAGACACGGTGTTTGCAGTTTTGTAAATACTTTAATAAGCGTGAAAACAAGTATGATATAAGGTTGGAGCTTATAGTTTTATTACAACCAGACATATATTCTATACGTAAGAGTATTATTCTATTGTTGAGTAATCTGTTTTTGTTACACAATATGTTACAGTTGTTAGATCGAGTTTAAATAATTGTTAAATATTTGTTAGACAATAAACAACAGATTAATAAATAAGTTTTTCTATAACACTTATTACAGCTACAGTAAACAAAGCAACTTAGTTCATTCAAATAAACATTTCATAAGCACGCGTAGATCGGTAACAATTACTCGGTGTTGGTTATATAAAACCAATAATATTGTTCCAGAAGCTAGTAGCGTTTAAACGCTCATTTACTTAAGATCTGTTTGAAGCAGAATGAAAGGGTTCTGTCTGTTCAATTTGGTTTTGATGTGGGTTAAATTCATTCTCGTAAACCCTTAACGATACGTAAAAAATCTCAGTTACTGCTACTTCTAGCTTTCATCACATGGATGTCTATCAAACCACATAGATATGGAAGACAATAATTGTTTTGTTTTTTTCATTGATGTCTATAATGTAGTTATTTGTGGCTCTTACATTTAAATCGTGAATAGCCCGGCCCACGTTAAGTTTTCATTCTATAAGAGTTATAGTAACACTTTTATACACTTCACTTAGATGTGACGTCAGCTCCCTTGGTGGTTGAAGTTATGTAACATTACTACCCTTTTTTTAGAAATTTTTCTTTTTCAGCGATTCTTGAAAAATAAACAATTGAAATTATTTAAGGAATTGTTTATTTCCTCCAAAATAGAAGCTACTGTCGAAATACTATAATTTTATAAATTATGACAACTTCTGTTTTCACTCCTTATTTCCATTGAAATTAAGCTTGTCTTTTATCAGACTAGTTTTAGACAGAAGTTTAAATAACCTACCTCCAATTAAGTTTTTGATACGTACAAAACCCAGTTTGTAATTGGAAGTATAGTTATATTATTTACTTTTTAAAATGAAGAGGTGCGTTAATATGTTTTATCCAAACCTATCTTCTCGTCTAAATGTACGTGTCCATAATCACTATAAAAAAATAAATAATGCCTTCCAACCAGATGTCACTAGAGAGGAAAAATGGACACTGTAATTTGTAAGGTCGATAAAAGAAACAAAACTAAATAATCTTTAGAAAATATTTGAATTATATTTCAAAATTTCTCGCGCAAAGCTACAAAAAGGACTATCTGTGTATAGCCATCTCTAACTTGTAATTAATATACTAGAGGGAAGGTAGCTAGTCAACAGCAACCATCTTCAAAACTTGTGCTACTCTTTCCTGTCTGAAAAGTATGATATTCGTACGGTACAAAATTGGGGATTGTTTTCTGAAAAATAATTATGGGTCCTAATTTTCAGTATATGTTCTTGTGAAGTTACTTTCTGTTTCAACTTTGAAATATTTGCACAGTATAAAATTGGGGATTATTTTCTGAAAAATAATTATGGGTTGTAATGTTCAGTATATGTTCTTGTGAAGTTACTTTCTGTTTTAACTTTGAGAAATATTTGATAAAATTCTATACGTAATAATTCAATATCCTTAAAGCATTTATTAATTAATTTAAATTGCCTTCTTTCAGCTCCATCTAAAATCTTAACAATGTGAACTATAACTACCATTTCCTGGAATAACCACCTGTTGATATTTCTGACCAGTTTATACCCAAAGTACTTTCCTGTTGGGTACTATAGAGTAAACAGCAGTGTTCGGATATTTTATAATAGTTGAAATAGTGCAATAATATTTAACTTAATATTGTTATTTTCTCTGATAGGTGAGCGAAGTTTTGATTTGCTATAATGTACTAAACTTTAGAAAAAAATATGAAATGGTTTTTGATATCTGATATTCTTTAGAAAAATATTTTGTTTGATGTGCAGATTTGTTTTTATTTAAACAAAAATGCATTGACTGAAAACTATTCAAAATAGCAAGAACTCAAGGTGGCATGTTTTTCGAATTTCAGAAACCTAGAAATTACAGTTTACTTCACATACAATATTCAATGGCTGTTTATTGTATAAGGTAAAATACGAGACTACAGGGTTGAGTATGTTATATTAAAACAAATTTGGAGCCTCGCCATGTTGTTAAAGTCCATTTTGCCACTTAAACTAGTTGCAACATAGCTTACATTACAAAATGCTCCGTCGTAAGGATGTCCTGATCAAAGCATACACACTCTGTCTTCAAGCCTTCCATAACCGATCTAGTGAACGAAGAAAATGGTTTCCCAGCACATGTTTCAACAGTCCGATTTGCACATAAGTCCTTAGGCGCGGCGTCTGGCGATTTAACCTACATGTGTTCGTATGGAATAGTATAAAACCTGTTTCATTCTCTATCTGCTTGAAGTATGCGATGATTGAACACGTATGTCGTGAAAACAGTTTGTAGACACGTGACTTGTACTACTTTTCCAGATGTATATCCTTTTTACTGTGTTGCGTACTGTTGTCTACTTCACGTGGACGGGTTTTGCCACTGACTCCTATTTTCATGAATTGTCACTTTTAAAAAACGCCCCATATTGCTAATCATGACTGGAGCTCGACTTGTTGCAAGTCTCTTTCTGGATAGTCCTGGTATTCCAAATTGATTCATATTTCTTTGTTTTCAAATGGAATTTAGTATAAGGGATTTCCCCGTCTTGGAAAAATCTAAATAGTGAATATAAACACATCTTTATAATCTAAGTATACGAATATTTTGCTCAGAAAAAGCTTTTACGTACTCTTCTCAAAAGCGATCAATGTTCTGTAACATCATAGTACCTACGAAACGCCAAAAAATGTCAAGTTGTAGTTATGATACATTCCATTCCACCGTAACTTTATTTCGGTTGTGTTTGTCACGTAACTTTCTGATTTACATATTTTAAATTGTTTATATTATTACGTACTCAGTCTTGTATAATGCACGTCGAGAAGAGTTATAAACACTCGGTAATACAACGTCTGTCTACACACCAATCAATCTATATGTTTATCTTTTCTCTATCTATCTCTATATATATATACATATATTTTTGGGCCTAACGTGGCACAGTGGTTAGTGTATCCAGACTGTGAATCTGGAGGTTGATGGTTCAACACTCGCACTGTGGAGCTGTAGGTGTATTATAAAAGTGACGGTCATTTTCAACTATTTGATCAGACAAAAGTGGCCCAAGAGTTGACAATGGGTTCTGTTTACTAGCTAATTTCCCTCTGGTTTATCAGTTCAAATTGCGAAAAGCTATGTTTTCAAGTTCTAAAAATAAAGAAGCTTCATATTTAGATATTTGTCCATACAGATTTTTTCTTCAAGTTTACTTATACAGTACTCTCTGCCTACATATGTCTGTCTGTCTACATCTATGCATGTTTTTTGTTGCTTGAACTGCCTTTTATCAAGGAAAGAAAGAACAGCTATAAGCCGCTATTTCAAAATCATGTCCGGCACAGCCAGGTGGTTAGGTGCTTGACTCGCAATTTAAAGTTGCGGGTTCAGATACCTATCCCACCAAACATGATCGCTCTTTCAGCGGTGAGAGCGTTATAATGTTACGATCAATCCCAGTATTCTTTGGTATAATAGTAGCCCAAGAGTTGGCGGTGGTGGTGATAACTTTCCTCTAGTCTTTAACTGCTAAATTAGGGACGACAGTTACAGATAGCCCTCGTGTGGCTTTGCGCGAAATTCAAACCAAATTCCAAAATCATTTTTAAGCTGAGAGTTAAGGTTCAGGACGCAACTCGATGTGAAAATTATTAAGTACAATCTTCTATTCTTTTTGGTAATTCACGGATAATCCTTTTCTTCTTCTTCTTTTTTTTTTTCAGAAGACGGGAAATGATGAAATTAATATATTTTATTTATTTCTTTACAGAGATGGCAGCCATCACTATCGGAGAATTTAACGTGAACGACAACTACCTACCTTAACACTTCATGAAGTTTTTCATAAAGAAAATTATTCCTGCTTCCTACTATTTCTAAAAGAAAAGGACAAAAATCAAACTGTGTCAACTTAGTCCATCGTAACCGAGTGTTTTGTGCATTTTCTCTAACTTTAAACCTTCTAAACCAAGTTATCTAACATCATACCAAAAACTGGCTGCAAGTTACATTGACGTGCTTAAATAGAAAGAAAAGCCAATGTTTAGACATCACTCAAAAGAAAGTCAAAAGGGATACATCTGTCCGACATTTATAGGATCTTGTGTTTTGTGTAACGTATTTACAACATAGAGCTGTTAATAAACAGTCAGCAATCACGGGAACGTTGTGGTATCTGTCCAAAGGGCGACTGTACGCCTTGTGCGTAACTGTGTTTATCGTGTCATTCTGCCTGGTAGCACACGTGCTGTACATGAGGTACCTGAATGACTCCACCTTATGCCTGGAAAGCTACCATGATGATGAACCAATTAATGTTGACACCTTGAGAGAAAAAATTAAGCTTCCTCAGACTAAGCGGCGTCTGCCCCAGTGTTTGATCATCGGCGTGCGGAAAGGCGGCACAAGGGCGTTGTTGGAGTTCCTCAACATACACTCCATGATTCAGAGGTCAACGGACGAGATCCACTTCTTCGATAACGAAAGGAAATATAATATGGGTCTGGAGTGGTATCGCCAGCAGATGCCTTATTCATTTGCCGACCAAATCACTGTAGAAAAGAGTCCCGCCTATTTCATCACCGAGGGCGCTCCCGAGCGAATCCGAGCCATGAACGAAAGTATCCGACTTCTTTTAATCGTACGCGAACCTGTAACTCGACTCATTTCGGACTATTCTCAATTAGCCGCAAACAAAGCCAAAAAAGACAAATTCATTCGACCTTTCCAAGATCTAGTGTTTCGAGAAGATGGCACAGTCAACACTGATTACCGAGCCGTAAGGGTTAGCATGTACTCCCTGTATATTAAAATGTGGCTGAGCGTCTTCCAACGGGATCAGATTCTAATTATCAACGGCGACCGAATGATTCGAGATCCTTACCCGGAGATCTATAAAACAGAACAGTTTTTGGGCTTAGAACATCGAATCGGAAGGGAAAACTTCTTCTACAATAAAACAAAAGGCTTTTACTGCGTTAGGAATTACACTGTGGACAAGTGTCTCAACGAAAGCAAAGGCCGGAAACATCCGCCGATTGATCCAGAAATCATTTCCAAACTGAGGCAGTTTTATGCCCCGTTTAACCGTGAGTTTTACAATTTAGTAAGACAAGATTTCGGCTGGCCTGAGGACTAACTAGAAATAGGTTTAAATAGGTTTAAGATTATGCGTTGTATGTTACATATTACTGTATGAATATTGTTGTTACGTTACACGATGTGTGACTGCTACAATATGAAATATAATCCTCCTCACTTAATGAATCAAAACGCAACAGTTGACAAAAAATCTTTATTTTTAACAAAAGATAAATATAAAACCTACTACCCTCAATAAAAGGAAATTCAAACAAAAAACTTACATTGTCCAAGACAAAAGGGGCAAGTTTAGGCACATAAACCAAGTTATAATATATATATGACTATGTGGTTATTATTTGAAATTACTACAAGTTGTTGTTTTTTGTTTGTTCTTGAAGAAAAAATGTATTCCATGTCATTCCTAAGATGGTATTAAAGCAGGAACACTTTAGCAAATACAGTATGAATTAAGATATGATTAATCAGAAGTTGGTAATTCTCTTAATGCATTCACTTAGGAAATACAGTGTTATTATAACACATTTGTGATCGATATAATATGAGCAATATTCGAAACTAAGATTAGAAAAATTCGTCGATACTTTATTATTATAGAGAAATTTAACTGCGTGATAAACATTACAGTCAACGTCAACTACACTCAATGTTAATGATATTTATCTATATGAGTAAAAACTGAGAAATGTTAACTAAAATAACCTAAGAAAAATTATTTCAAAGATTTAGCTTTAACAACCTTTCTGTTGGAAAAGTAACACGTATCCATATATAGAAGATTATCACATTTTTAGCGCATGCAGTTAACAGTTGTGTAGTTCAGATATCAGAAAAAAAAAAGGAGTTGGTTGTCAATTAGTACAATAATTTTACAGTCCGTACTACTTATATTTATAGCATGTATTTTTTACGTTTTTCTGTAATTCAGAGGAAGTAAAACATGAAACTATTGAGGTAAAACCATGACGTGACTATATTCATTACAACGCTCTCTCCATAAGTAACTGTTGAAATCCAACATATTTTTAACTATACTATTAAAGAAGATTGACGAAGCTTGCTACATTTTATTTTGTGGTTCACATTTGAAGAATTAATGTGATTTTATTTATAGGTCGAAAAAAACGCGCGTAAACAGCCTTTATGTGCCATACAGTAAGTAATAAAACCATTGTTATTGTTGTAATACAAATGATAATTGTCAGAAGTCGTGTACAATCAAAGTTTTCTCTTTCCTTAAATGTTATTTATAAAATATCAGTTAAAATGAAACATTTTATATTTAAGAACGTTTAGAGAGGATATGAATCCTAAATGCTATATTTCTGTTGTTTTTTTTAAAGCTGCTGTCGTATAATTGGCAGATATTATAAAAGATAAAAACGTTTACCTTAAATAAATTGACGTATGATACAGTGGATATTTCATTAAGTTTTTCTGCTATAGCCTATACATAAAAACAGAATTACTCTTATTTGTAGAGCTGCATGAATTTCTTTACTTTTTTTTATCAGAAACGTAATTTTTCTGCTTTTCATCAAATACCATTGTTATTTTTGGGCCTTCGTTCAACAGCTTTTGTTTTTTTTTCTTGTTCGTTAAACATATTTACCCCTATTGCATCAAATACCATTGTTATTTTTGGGCCTTCGTTCAACAGTTTTTTTTTTTTGTTGTTGTTGTTCATTAAACATATTTACCTCTATTTCATCAAACATCATTGTTGCAATTTTTACGAACTTCATTGTTGCAGTTGTCGTAAATTATATTTGATTTATTTTCAACCTAACATAATTGTTATGCTATTTATAAAACGATTATTACTTTCTATCAAACACAGTAGTTATTGCTACTGAATAACAAGAAGTACGTATATATTAGATACACTGTGTTTTAACAATTTGTTCTAATATTCAAATTGTGAAATATTTTCGTTATGTTTATTTGTTAGAAACTGGCACTCTGAAAATGAGAGTTTTTTATATTTCGATCTGTGATTGAAAAAACCATCACAAGAGATTTATAATGTGTCGCTGCTTAATATGTATTATTAAAATTCGATTTCATTAAATAAAATACCTGACGAGATATTTTGTCTACCCAGGAAATACAAAAAACTCTCTAAGTAATTACATTTCGTTTTTTTTTTATTCCCCTAAATCCTCTGAATTTAGTTTCAACGATTCTCACACATTATGACCCATATTTAAGCATTTGTTTTTATCTCTTTAAACAGAAAAATTCGAAAAATCTATCCCATATTGCTGAAACATAAGAGCATTCGATGAATTACTCGTGATGCAGCATGATCAAATAAACTATATATCGGTGTCCGTTTTATCTGTCTAATCAGAATTCGGTATATTCAATTAAGAAAACTGCTCTAAATTTTTGACAGAGAATTTTTGCCTTGTTCATTGTATGCATGTAATATTAACAACAGCGTTCGTTTTACAGCATATATAAGATATATAGTATATATCTCTGTATGAAGAATATGAAATATTTGACAGAAATAAACATAAATGTCAATTAGTTACTGCTTACAGTAAATAGGTAAAATAATTGTAAACAGTGATGTTTAGCTTATAATTATTTGCACTGAGTAGCTAGGTGGAAACTGTAGAAAACAAGCTGTAGTAAACATCATTTCCATGTCTCTGGCTGCAGTAGCTCCGTGATTATTATAACTGAAGATCAATACAAATTTTAAGTATTTCTTAATTAGTTACATTGGGTTTTGGAGTATAGTTATGATACTTCAAAAACCGTGTCGTGTAAGCACTGAAAATATAGTTAGTACGATGCAAAAACAGTTTATGAAAGAGATTGTAACTATCATGATATAGAAACGCGGAGTAAACATGAAGCTAACTATCATGATGAAAAATGTGAATGAAACAAGAACGTGTAAATATCACAATGCAGAAACGGGGAGTAAACAAGAAAGTGTAACTATCGTGATGCAGAAACGTAGAGTAAACAATAAAGTGTAGCTATCG